GCAATGAAGTTGGAGGGTGCAAGTTCGAGACATATGTTGAGCATTTTCAAAATTTATTTTGATAAACAGATATTCCTAAAAATGCATTTATTAATCGTTGTATATATAATAACAAAAATGATATAATTTTTATCTATAGAACAAATCTGATAAGAACGAAAATATTATAATTCATTACACATTTGTAAATTCATTGTTTTCCAAGTTTTAATAATTTCTTTTTCTTCTAATTTTAGCGTTTAACTTCAAATATAAAATTAATAAAATGGTACTAAAGGTTTATAAAATATTGTATCATTTAAATTAATCTACTTTAATTCTTTAATCAATAATCTCAAACGAATAATATAATTAAATAAAAATTAGATTATAATAAAATATTTGCTCACAATGGTAAACTCTACAGTTTAAGCTTCACCTATGAAATAAAACGCCAAAAATCATCTATTTTGAGACAAAATATTTTATCTATTTATTTCTCCTAACAGTTTCGCGAAAACTTCAAACTTAGAATATTTTGACAGACTTATTTTGTTGCCGTTAAAAAGCGATTAAATATATACATACAAAAGTAGATAGATGTCAATAAGCAGTTAGTCTAAGTCTAATTGTTTTTGTACTTGGACTTATACGTATACAAACTTAGAAAAAACACAGTAGAAAATCTTATGAGTACAATATATATATATTACAGTCGGTTAAAATAGATATATGTATAGCGTATTATATTCGTCCCTATGGACGGTTTCCCTCAACGAGGTCAGCTCACTGAATATTATTATACCTGAGTTTAATGTATGTAGTATAATATACTACTGTATACACGAAGAATAAAATCTTTCTGTGAAAAACATTAATATTCAAGTACTGCTTGGAACATTATTTATTGCAGGTGGATGGAAGAATAAGAAAAGTAGTAAGCTTTCTAAATAAAAATGACTAAATAAATTTGATAAAGAAAGGTGAAATATAAAATATTTTAAAAGTATATATAAAGTGGTATGAAAAAAATTACATTTTTATTAAATTCATTTGGACTTTATACTTAGTCTACCTATATATAACACATACACTTAGATTTATACGAATTACGAATAGTAATACTATGTTGAAGTCCTACTCGTAAAATTACGATGTACAGATTAAAGTTACATGATTAATCGATTATTATTATACATTATATTTTTAACTCGATTACTTGAAATATAGTTTAATCAAAAATGTACTTAATTACTCACAAATCCCAAAAAAAAAAAAAAATTATTATTACAATATTTTGCTTAATAAAAGATCATGAAATCAATATATGTATGTGTGTGTGTGTGTGTGTGTGTAACATAATGGCTAATGGCTATTAAACTCATTTCTCAAAATCACGAATTAAATTATGTTCTACACTCCTTCAATAAACATAATATATTCAATTTTATATACCAATCAACTTTCATATTAAATAAAATTATTATTATTAACATTATAAATTATTTTTCAATTTCATACATAGAATTTCGTATTCCTATCATAAATTTTATTTTTTGTAAGCACATTTAACTGCTAAGTGTGTAATTTGTATGCAAATACACTGTATTGATAAAACTTGTAGAAAAAACCATTAGTATATTGTTTTATCAACTAGAAATCAAAATTATTTTTTCTGAAATTTGCATATGCACTGTCAGCTACAACAATCCTTGCATATTAATTCGAAATGTATACTTTTAAAAGGTATTTTAGGTTGACAAATAATTTCAAACAAATATCGTACAGAAAGAAAATAAAGTTTTAATGTAAAATACATAATTGAAATCAAGGCCATATAGTTAAGAGTAGGAATATTCATGAATTTAGACTTCCCCGGTCTCCTTTAACGTATTTTAGAATTAGACCTTGTTACAAAGAGCCTATTATTTTACTTATTTGATTGATAAATCTTAACATTGTTAAACTAAAGCACTGAACACAGACAACTAAACTTTGGAAGATAATTTTTAATGCCCATAACCAATACCTATAATATTGATTAAATCATAAATATTAATACACAATTAGTATCTTGGCCAATGTATACGTGTTTTTAGTCTTAAGTTTTAACGATAAGTACATTTTAAAAAAAATTATTTTTTTAATATAATAGGTATTTGATGATTAATCTTATTTTTTTATAATTATATAGTTGTATGTGAATAAATCCTATAGATAAAAATGGTATTTCACAATAATACAACTGTAACTCTGTAACTGTCAATAAATCATAATCAAATTTCCAAAGTAGATTTTACCATGATTTTTTTACAAAATATTGAATTGATATTATTTATTTATCTATTAATTTCCATTGGTTAAAATTATAAAGAAATTCATCACAGTAATGACCTATCCAATTCCTGGATCTTTTTTTTTTGTATTCAATATTGCATTCGCACATAGTAATATCTATATCTACATGTCCCCTCTATTCAATAATAATGTTATTTTATTGAAACTTTATAGTAAAAAACTAAAAATTAACCAACAGAACATATATTAGTATAATATCCAATTTATGAACATGTATACAAATACGAAAAATGTTTAAGGGAGACTAGTTACAAACAATGTAAAGCGGCAATCTCAAATATTTTGTATTTATAAACCGCTTCTCCTATCATCAACATCAGAACTAAGAAGGAATAAGGTAAAGATAAATTGGTGGTGTTTTAAGTGAACCAAATTATTTTTATCACACAAAGAATCAATTAAATATAAAAGGGTAACAATTTATTGCAGATCTGGTATTATTACATATACTGTAAATTCTTAACAAATCATTTTTACACAGAACAAATAAGTGATGATAAAATAATTTTAAAAACTATAAATTACAATTATTTATTAGATTAATTAGAAGTCATTTACAAAAAAAAATTATTAAGGAGATACTACAAATAGTATTTTTCCACAGATATACCTGTGCATTTTTCAATTCATTATCAATATTATCAACTGTAGTATCTACTATTTTCTATGGTAAACTACATGGACCGCTTGCCGATTGTATAAGTTTAAAATATAAATCTATAAATCTATGATTAGCACCCCGCCATTGATTATAAGATATTCTATTCAATAATCAATGATACCGCGGTGATACGGTATATTTAGTACCTACTTAGTACTTTGTTTACGAAAATAGATATATAATTATATAACCGCGTATATCACAATTCTATATATACAGATCACAGTTTAAAATGACCGTACTTCAAACGTCGTAATCATATAATATCGTATCAAAATAGTTAAAAAAAAAAAAAAAGTACATTGTATCTCATGTCCAGAAACTATGAAATTTTAATTTTAAAACATTTTTCGAGGTTGAAGGAGGAGCTACAACCCCTTAATGTTAATCTATGATATCTATTAGTTGATAAAATTAATCATCAAATTACCAATTGTAGAGTACCTATAGTTTTATACGGTTACGTTATAAATTATTATTTGTGCTTTTTACTTTTCGACTGTCGTAAAAAATAAAAGAATAAGACTTAGTGATTCTCGGTATAAGATCATAAACAATCATTTCGCCGTCTTTAAAAACATAATTTCCAAACAGAAATAATTTAAAGAATTATATATATATACACTCTACGTCTACCTTCAATTTCTATTGGTAAAAAATCGTATTCTATTTTAAAACACATTAAAAAATATTTACCATCCTCTTTATTACGTGAAATAACGTCAAATTTATCGATATTATGCATTGAATCTAATAAAGTTAAAGATATGAAATGAAAAGAATTGATACATAAAATTACCACTTAAATGCAGAATAATTTCATATCTTTTTTTTCTAAATCAAAATACAAGTACATTATAAAAAGTTTTGATTAAAATATTGCAAATATTATAAAGTATTTTAATTATTTTACTTATTTAATATTACTTATTACTTATTAGTTATTACCTACTTATTTAATTTTTTTTTTCAAACTGTAACAATATAGGTGTATTTATAAATACTTAAATAAGTTGTATCACAAAAAAAATTTTGCTAGTTGTGAACGAGAGGCAGAAAAAATGGTTTGATTTATAATGGCATTGCAAATTCTACTTTCAATACAACAAAAGTAGAATAACGTCTTAATAATTTTTTTATTTAGATACCACACTTATATAAGTGCATTTCCCCAGCACCTCTACTTCCGAATTTCGGAACCAAACTTGGAGCTTTTGATTATGTAAAATGCACCTCATTTATAATCTGATAGCCCAAGGACATTACAATGAACATATTATCAAACTACTACTTAACAGCAATGATAATATTAAGTTAAAGATTAATATCAGGTTATTTTAAAAATATATAAAACATAAACTTAAAGCTCTTTTTATCGACCAATTGAATTCATTATAAATATAATTTTTTTTATTAACAGGTTAATATTTAACAATAATATCAGCAAGAAAAAACAAAAGATATTACACGGACATTCAATATTTACAATTAATCTTAACAGTTATTGTGTTTCCAAATGACAATAATTAGAAAAAGCGTTGCTCCTTTATTATTCACCTCAATTATAGAAGGTAAAACAAGAGCAAAACACAAAATAATTACTACTACAACATTATTAAAAACCTAATTATTTGAATTTTAATAAAATTTTAACATTTCTAGTAGGTACCAACATAATTTTATCAAAACCTTAACAACTATAATATTTTGGAGACTAAAGGCAGAGCATATTCTAAGTCACAGTTGTTTTAATTTATTATATTGTACATAGCTTTGCACAATTCTCGACATTTTAATAATTAACAATTAATTACTATTACAAATATAGTTTTATAGGTATATCTATATTCTATAGGAAAGCCCAATCGATAAAATAGTCATTAATTATGATACATCTAATAAATAATATTAGGTAAAATAATAAAAATATATTAATTTTTCATATGTTGTTACTAACAAGTTAAGGATTGCTAACATTTAAGAGGAATGCTTAATGCGTTACCTTATTCTAGTTTCACCAATTGGCAATTCATTCAATATGTTTCTTATGATCACCACCGAATTCGACTGTTTAGTAAATAATTTAAGTTACCTACTGTCTTCGAGGACAAAAATCAAAAGAACGAAGAACTTACCTTAACAACGAAAAGACGTTCATCCAATTATTACGAGAGCATTGGTAATGTACAATACTCGCAAACAGCCGTCAGGAAATGTCAACAAGTGCAATGCGAAACAACGTGAGAATGCGTCTGAACGTGACTAAACTCGTACGCGGGAAATACACGCGCGGCATGAAAACTTTACGATCCGCAGGGCTGTCCCGTCGAGCGAACAAAATCGCGAAACCGTATGTTCGTCTGATAATAATCTCAATGCTGATCGGTCACACTGTAACAACGTATTTGAGGTTATGAGTTATGACATTGTTGCCGATTGGCGATTAGTTTATGAGCGTAAAATTAAAAATATCCGTTGTCGATGTCTGCTAACTGCTTGTAGTCGCTGTTGACTTTTGAGCATTGAGCACTTAAACTCAGAGTTATTGATTTGTATTACAATTTGTCGCCGTTTCATTCAACGGTTTAGTTTTTCAACTTTATAAAAAACATTCTCACTATGGCACCAAAGAAGTCCAAACGTAGCGCTTCCGATGATTCTTCCTCCGACTCTGGACCCGACGACGTAAGTTTTTTTATGCTGTAGTTAAATAAATAAACCTCATGTGTAAAGTTATTAAAAAATTTACAAAATGACATGTGCTCAGATATTTCACCATGAATTGATAGTGCACTACCATGTAAAAATATAGATCAATACCTTAAAACCCCGACCGTATCCGTATGTTACCTATTTCGCACACTAATGTGACTATACTCTTAAGACAAAATGACTTTCATTCCTCTATTAAAGTGTTAACCTTTTTTATCCCTGATGCCCTCGTGTATTATTTCTGTCTTTATTATAAACATTAAAACAAATTCGTACTCAGCCGAATCCATTTTATGTTGAAAATTTTAATATTAATTCTCACTTTTAAATTTGATAAGTATTATTATTATTTTGCTATATTATTAAAACTAACAATACCTACATCATGTCCTCATTAACAATCAAAATTTCAGAAAAAAATATTGAGTGCTCTCAATAATTGTTTTTAATTCCTGTTCAGTTTAAACTAAATTGTTAAATTGCTTCTATATAATAACCTAGAAATATAAATCACAAGCCTATTTATAGGTATTTTCCAATAAAATAAATTAATAATAGACATACTAATGTGCATTTGCTATCATAATAATGTATTTGGAAATAAATTGAAAGTTTTTTTTTTTATTGATTGATTATAAAAGATTAACTAACACTTCAGAAAAGATCTATTTTTTATATGTAACTACATGAATCGCCCTTGAGCCTTATTTAATAGAATAAATTATAAAAATTAAATAAACATTATGTAAATAAGTTATAGCAAACTTGATACTAACACCTATAACATCTAGGTATATAATTATATAATATATTTTGGTTAATATAATCTAACCATTTAAGTCAAATTTCGAAAGTTTTTTTTTATGATAAAATATCTCATTAAATTATTTACTATGTTATACATCTAGAATAATTGTGATATGTAACAAATGAATTTTAATGTCATGAATTATAATGATTGATTTTAGAGAAATCCCCCTCCAAAAAAATCTAAACCTACTGATAAAGGAAGTTCCAAGAAAACCAACTCAAATGAGGAAGAGCATTCTTTTGCACTGGATAAAAATCGCTTTGTTAAAGTTAGAGAATTTCGTGGAAGGCTTTTCATCGACATCCGTGAATTTTATGAGAAAAATGGAGAAATACTTCCTGGAAAAAAGGGTAAAAAAAAAGGAATTTCCTAAATAAATTGTTTTTTAAAATGTTAAAATTATGTTTATAGGTATATCGTTGTCTGTTAACCAATGGAACAGACTAAAAGAGCAAATTGATGATATTCAGGAATCCGTCAACAAATTGGGATAATTTAAGTTTCTTATGTGACCGACTTGTTTTTATATTTATTTATTTATAATTAGTTTGTTTTGATGTATTATTTCATACTTAAGCATTAAGTGTTAAATTATATTATAAGCTGAATTATAATTTTGTATTTCAAACTCCTAGAGTATTTTAATTTACCAAGTATAATACAAAATTTAAAATTTCATTGAAATCATGACTTATTATTTTAAATAAATTTAAAATTGAAATCATTATCCTTAGAGCTTAGAGTATTATTAATACTCATAACATGTTTTTAATGAATCATAGGTACAATAGGATAAGTGTAAAGTGTATCACGTAATCTTAATCAAAATAAGTTATTTTTCATTATTTCAAAAAAATTGGCAATAGTTATTTTAAAAAAACCAATTATTTTATTTATTTTAACAATTTTGTCTTAATTTTTTATATTAAATTAAGTAGGGAGGAATTATATACCTTAACCCTTTGTATCTTTATATACAAAGTTTTTTCATAATATTAACCATATAAAAATTTATAATTAACAGACTAAAAACCTTATTAAATAAATTTCCACTTATACTTTAATGCAGTATAATAAGTTAGATACCTACTGCCTACTAGTCACCGACTATATCAAATAATGTACTATAGATTTTTTTTAAATCTAATTTGATGATACTTTCTTTTTCATACTTCATTAGTGTATTGTGTAGTACCTAGTTTTATTATCAACATATACCTTTGTACAAAATCTATAATTTCCCAACTTCCCCTCCACCTCATCCCCCTCTCAAAAAACTTATACTATTAAAATTTTAATCAATATACAATAATAATTAAAACTAAAATTATTCTTAAAATAGATGAAAGTAGTTAACCATTTTACAGTTATAATTCCTAATTATTTTAAGGAATATTGAGAATTGTTTACTTTCTATCCTCTTATGTAGTGGTTGTTCTTAACCCTTTTTTTAAAGTAACTATTGACTATACTTCCAACAATTAAACTTGTATGTTTTATACTAATTTATAAATTTTATATTGCTAATAATTACTGAGGAATCAATAAAACTAACCATAAGTGTTTTTCTCATCTATGGTTGTTTTTACCATAAATTCATAATATTACATAAAGATCATGTCATGAATTATACTTTGAAAAGTTAAAGTTAAATAAAGAATATGACACACCGGTTAACCTCAACACAAATGTACCAAATAATAGAATTTGCTACCAGAAACCGCTATCAAATAAGTTAAATAACAAAACATTTCCATTTCTATGAGTATAAAACATAACAAAAAAAATAACCTTCATTATAAAAAGAAATGTTCATTGTTCTACTCAGAATCTAAATTTTCAAATTGTATATACTTATAACTAATATATGACTTAAATTTAGTCAACAATTTTTAAAATTATCAATGAGTTTAGAAAAAGATAATTTAAGAAACAATAGAAAGTTTCTATAGTTAATACTTTTTAAACAAAAAAAAATAAATTAAAGAAAATGTCTTCTTGATTTTAATATAATTTTAAAATATTCTGATATTTAATATAGGTACTCAAACTAAAAAAAAAAAATTATTTTATTATAAATTTAATTTTTATCCATTTATAATTTTTCGTATGAATAAAACAATCTTAGTATTAATTATGAAAAAATATACACAAATTAAAACTGCCACGTGTTTAACGTCTAATCCATTCTTGTCTTAATATCACGCACAATTATCTTGTCCTTTTTACTGAAACACAAGAAATATTATTTTATAATACCCTTTAAGATATATGAAAAAAAAAATCGCTATACTATTTCAAACAAAATAATTTTACTTACATAATGTAAACCTTAGCACCCCAACCGGAAATGGCATCACGATTGCAAGCACTAACCAAAGCTTGTGAAATAGTTTCAAATAGTTGATCCTCTTCCATATCAGGCTCCCAAAGAGCTTCACAAAGACCGTATAATTGGCTTGAACTAGTACCTCCAACCACAAAGTTATCAGACTTATTTACACAACCAATTAAATCCATATCACACATATATGGTTCCAATGTCACTTCATCCAAAGCAACAATCATAGGTTCTACGAAAAATGGTGAAAATCTGTTAAACACAAAACAAAATAATTAAAAATGTATACAGTGCAAACAATGTATGAAATATACATTTAAATAATTATCTACATATATTTTTAAATCAACAGTCAGTATAAAATGTGAAATAAGTTATTAATTATTATTTATTTATTTATAATAATAATCTATATTGTAGACACAAATACATTTACAAATAATAATATCTAATAACAGTAATATTTAACGCATTATGCTTTAACTTTAATTCAAAATAACATTTTAACTATAATTTTTTAATTGTTTGCTTTTTTAATCCTTAAATGTGGTTTAAACGTATTTTTATTATCATAATTTAAAAAATCTATATAGTCTACCACCATTAAAACATTAATAGAAGATTCTAACATTTTTTTATTTATATTTTTAAGTAGAACAAATCTTTAATTTGTATATCAACTATAGCCACTAAACAAAGAATGGATAATCAATATTACCAGCAATGAGTTTATATAAAAATACTAAGTTTTGGGCATTTTTTTCTATATTGTAGTATGATTAGTGTGAATAATGAAAAAATTTGAATCTTTAAAACTCGGATGGAGTTCTCTTTCAATGTGTCACTTAAAAGATAAATATCTAAAGAGTTATTTTACATTGACTATTATCATGCATCTAAATTATAGAATTATTGAACTAAACAAGTGAAGTACATTCAATGTGTGATCTTACCAATGAGAAATAAACTGTTTTAAAAGCATCAGAGTAAAACAACAATTTGTGATAGTTTCTTTTTAAGAAATTAAGTTTCATGAAGCCTCAATTTTTATATTTTAGTATATATGCCTTAAACGTAAGTTATGTTATGGCAATTATCAAATTTTATGGTAGTTTGTGAATATCATTGAACATTAATATTAAACATAAGATTGAGGTATTCCTGTCTTAATAAACATACAATTTATCAAGCTATCATTTGTACAGATATTTTTGAGTCATAAAAAAAACATTAACATATTAAACTATAATGAAAAAAAGATGTCAAGATATTTCGATTAAAAATTCATCAGTTAAATTTTCCTATAGATTTGTTTGCAACGCTGCTATCATAACTTTAATATAAAATATAAATATACAAAAATATAGTATAAACTAACTTAACCTAATCTGACTTGATATAATTTCACATTGTCATGCATTGGTAATGATAGACACATAATCATACCATTTTTTTTTTTTTTCATAAAATTTTATCAATGCAAATATAATTTAAGCAAATGATACTAAAGTGACACCCCTAGAATAAGATTATAATTTTTTCTATATTAAAATGTTTAGATTTTAGGATGTGTTAGTGACCTCCATGGAGATCAAGGAGAATCACTAATATATACAAAATATAAATTTAGAATTAATTTTTCTTATTTAAATATTACATACCTGTTTTCATACAACAGATTGGAGACCAAAGATGCTAATGCTTTAGGAGAAATTTTCCGATTCTCTTTTAATTCGTATAACCTTTTCCTGAACATAATTTTCTCATACACAGTAAATATATCTGTAGCTAAACCAGGAAATCCCATATATGTATGAGGATTTATTTGAAAAACTTTCTATAATTAAAAATTAAAATAATTAATTATAGGTAATAATTGCAACTCGGAAGTTGTAGGAGTGGCATATTGTTCTATAAATGTTTAATTTAAGTATAGCAAACCAAACAAAAATTCAAAACTTATAAAATAAATTTAAAAAATTAAAAATGCATATGTAACATATCTTGTTAATTTTGGGGGGAAAAATATATATTTTATTGATTTTCATACACATTAATTGTTTTATTTATTAACATATATATTTTAAATAATGTTGTATATAAAATTTAATATTATTTAATGTAAGTATTTATAGTCATTGTCACAATCAACTATTAAAGGTGCAATGCCAATGTGCATTCAGTCTCTATCATATTAATATGCCAAATACCATCTAGTCGTCTATAAATTATCAACTTAACTTATCGTAAATTGTTTATTCTTTAGCAAGTTTGTTGTACAAGATTGACATTTGATGTATTTTTTACCTACTTTTTCAAATTAATAATTTGTCAAAATACTAACCAATTTGTTTTCATATTTTACATTAGTTTTTGTACATATTTTGTACATATTTAAAAAAATACTTTTGCATTTTTTAGCTCCTATAACTTCCGAACTCTCGATATAATACACAATAATAATAAATAAATAAATAAAACTACATACTGTGAAATCAAGAGACACTGTTTGGGCTTGTATACCAAATCGCTTATCAGTTGCAATGGCTACACAGTTTTTGCCTTTCATACCAATTAAGGCACCGCCATTATAGTCCATGATACTCTACATTTATAAAATAATTATACAATTTACACATTCAAATAAACAACAATTAATAAATAAAAATTATATTTTTACAAGCTCATGTGCTTCATTATAATAATATTGTAATAAATACTAAGTTTACTTTATTTAAAGAACAGTTAAATAAATCAGTTTATTCATAAATAATACTGACTAAATGAACTAGATACTGACTTTTTGCATACATCCTAATCTTATTAACAATTATATTTATCAGTGGCAATTGTAAGTTTTTTTAAGAATTTATAACCCATGATAAATGGTCATAAATTATAACTCATAACATAGTAATAGAAATGAAAACTTTAACTCAAAAATATATTTTTAATAGTATTTACTACATTTTTAAATAAAATATTCATATTAATTTGAAAAATTTTGGTCAAAAGTGGATAATTATTATTCTAATAACTATCCATTTAAACAAACCTAACTACCCTAACTACTATTGATGTATTAAGATAATAAATATTAATGGTAGCAACTTTATAATTACAACAATGAGCATTATAAATTATAGCTTACTGTTCATTGAACATTAAAATACTTAACTAATTTTTATAAATATTATATTGTATTAAGATACATAATTATCAATAGCAATATAATTCGTTTAAGATATGACCAATAAATACTTTACCATTTTGAGAAAAGTAGTTAATGAAACTGTAGACTTGCAAAGGTTTTAAAAACGAAAATTCTTACACGATTTGAACTTTTTAAAATAATCTAAACAATAAAAAAGTGCTAATTCATTATCATTTATCAGGTTATATTATTTATTTATCACATTTAGGAACACTGCAGTTTAACTGTTGTTATATTATCTATAGATTACATTTTAAGGTAGTGTAAACAAATTTGATAGTTTCCAAAGAGAATAAATAAATGGAGAGCTCAGTAAAATGTTACAATAGTTTAAAAATTTTTCTCACAATTTAATATTTATCTTTTAAAATAAATAACGTAAATACACAAATATTTTCAGATGGTTACATAATACAAATATTAAACGCTGAATCCAAAGATTTATATTTGTCGTATCTATGTACATAAAGTGAAAAAATGGCAATGAAATTGGTTCTACCGTATACACACTGCTGTTTAAAATGTATATAGTAGGTAATTAACCACACTAAGCTTTGTAGTGTCACATCTTAAAATATTGAATAAGGTTTTATAATATACTAAAAAGTAAAATTATTCAACTAATTAGTCGTTAAACCACTTATATAAATTTATAATATGTTCATTGAAAATTCTATTCGCGTGGAAATAAATAAAAATTATTTGGAAAAACATATATTTTAGTGTTCACGTGTAAATACACCTGTCTGAAATGCATTTTGCCGCAAAATAACGTTTAGAAACCATATAAATCCTAAAAATAGATTTGGTTTTATTTTTATTAGGTAGTTTAATCGATAGTGAACGATGGTAATAGACGGGTAGTGCTTATACTAAATATACTATACCTAATGACTAATGAGTTTATTTAGAAAAATAACCTGCATACAATACTGCCATAGGCTAGGTTATTGTCAATATTATTATTAAATTACATTTATTTTTAAAATTTTTTTTTTTTATTTTGGTAAAATATTATAGCAGTACTTACCTATACCACTATTTTATCGTTTAAGCATTTATTTCTTTATTTCATTAAGTAAAAGATTAAAATATTAAGTTTAATACTGTATGTTAATAATATATTATTAAGAAGTGCAGTGTTATTTCATTTAAACAGGTAAATTAGTTAAAAGATTATTTTATTTCATTCCATTCAAAATTATGAAATAATATATTTGTATTTACATATTATTATTTATTTTAAATTATGCGTTATTGGTTAAAGTAGTTCAACCATGCATTGATGCCAGTTTTTATAGCATTCATTTTTTCTTTAGATTAGGTTGATTTGGAACTATGTGTGTTGACGTGTTGTACAGAAACTTGGATATTTTAAAGGCTCAAGGCTGGTACTTACTACTGAGAATTTCTTATGACATACATTATAAGCTATAGCTTTTAACTATTATTTAAATTAGGTAGGTACATTATATGTATAATAGATAAGTATTAAATAATTGAATAAATTATTTAAAATGTAATCGTATAATCCAATAACAAATGTTATGATTAAGTCATATTATTGTTGAATTTTAAATTTTATCTGAAAAATAGAAATGTTTAATTAAGCTCATTTCAAAGTATACTGTATAAATAGGAAATAAAATATATTACCTATATATTATTTAGTATATAATAATTAATATTACGGTTACCTGCACCTGATAAGAAATTTCACGATAATATTATGTTAGCCTGTGTACGGAAGTTATTCTTATCTTTATTCTTCAAAAATTGTTTATTATATCTTATTTCTATTACAAAAGTTTCAAATGGCAACTTTCAACTTTAAAAGATTACTAAGATTACTTATAAATAATCTACTTTTAACGCAGATAAAAAACGATTTCGAGACAAACTTGGGTTAATACTAATGTTCTCCACATAATTTTGTTATTTTCTCTTAAGTGAATAGGCAATGGCTCAACAACTCTCTGGTGTCACAGTGGTGATATTTATAGCTGGCGGTATATTGACTTTCATATTGCTATTCATATTTGCCAAGAGGCAGATCATGAGATTTGCTTTACGATCGAGGAGAGGTCCGCATGTGCCAATTGGACACGATGGAAAAAAAGTAAAGATAAAAATTTCTCAAAAATGTGTATAATGGTTTTTAAAATTATAGTACTCAGTTGCGTTTTATTCAAAATATTGATCATCAACAATTCACCATAACTTATTTGAGTTACTTTGCTTCCCTTGTTTTCTTTTTTATTTGCAACGCAATTAGGTATATGAATTTATTGGCATATACACAGTATAAGAATAACATGTCATGGTAAAAATCATACTGTATAATGATGTGCATAATGACAATATTTTATATTAATTCATAAAATTTGTTTTTTATTGAAAATTAAATGTTAATATAGAATTCTGTGTCATATCATCTAAAATAGTTTTAAGAATAATAGTAATTATAAATCATTAGTATAATGCTTTAATAGTAATAAATACATATTCATATTGTATTTCAAATAATATAGTATAATATTTATTTTTTGTTAGACACTAAAAAGAGAAATCGAACGACGAATCGAAGTAGTTCCAAAAATTGTTTTTGAACCAAAATTGATGAGAGATCAAGACGATGACCGTTCAAAGTATATATTACCACCGACTGAATCAAATAACAAACCATTGCCCTCACACTATTATCGTATGAAAGCAGTTGATGATGTCAAAAAGTTGGGTAATAAAATATAAGAATAAAACTAGTTTCATAGTTAATAAATAGTAGGTATACTTTATATGAATTGGTCCCAAAAATAAAATAAAATTTGCTAAAAATATCCTAATTGGCCCCTTTACGGACACAAACTAAACATTTGTAAATAGTCCTAAGTTCAAATAAAATGAAAAAAAAATATTAAAACCAACAATAATGCGTATCTACAATTCATAAATTTAAGAACCGATTCACTTATTTAAAATTAATTCATAGTCAACTTGATATTATATCAATAAATATTTTGTAAAACTATATAAAAATGTACTTTTAGAATATGAAATCATCAAACAAGATAAAACTTTGACTCGTCATCCAAACGAAAACATCCGTTCATTTTTACTAAATACATTAGCAGTACTTTTGGATGGCAGTGGACAGCACATAGTTCATCAATTCTGTGATCTCTATGAACACGCACGTTATGATCCAAATGAATTCCTGGATGAAGAATACCAATCATTTATAAGATTAATGAAAAAATTAATTGACATGTGAGTCACGTTGTGATAAATTTATTTTTAATATATTTTAAAATTTCTACATAATTACTTTAAAATTCAAGTATAAATTTACAGTTATTAAATAGCAATGGTAAATATATTATATACCTTATACATACATTAATATGTATTTTAATTGTTAATTTAATATATTAAAATATTATTTTTTTAATTATTACAGTGCAAAATTATTGAAATCGTATTCTGGTGAAAGTCGAAAAAATAGTCCCAATAAAACTCCAACTCGTAATAACAATATGCGAACTGGTAATAATGATAATCTTAGAACAAAAGACAGAGACTCAAATCGCTTAAAAGTTGTATGAGAAGTATTTTTTTATTATGAATTAATTGGAGTAAAATTACTTTTTATTGTATTTAGTTAAAATTAATTAATACCAGATAAGTTTCTAAATATTTTGGTAAATGTAGATTATATTAATATGTAAAATTTATTTAAGTTTAAAAATATTTTTTTTTATTTATTGAAACATATAAGTAATTGAATGTTAAATAATATTATATTATTATGAACAATAAGAGGCATTTTTAAGAGCCTTAAATTATTTGGTAAATTATTGTTTTGAAAGAAATAAAACTGTTATATATTTTTAATCATTAATCTTAATTATTTATTTTAATTTTAATTAGTTCCATTTAATATTTACTTAAGATCTTTACCTGATGGGTGTCCTTCTATTTATAAAGTGGTATTTGAAGATTTTCATTATATTATTTAGTTATATTAAATGCCATAACATTTTTTTAGTCTAAGATAAATTAATAATTGACTAAATTATTAATCTGCTTTGATATAATGATGATAGAAAGGTGCTACAGCCATACCAAGGTATTTTTATTTTAAATATAATTGTAATAAATTAAATCATGATTGTATACCATATCAAGTTTCATAAATATTTCAATTTTAAACTAATTTAAATATTAGTATTTTATTGTTAAAACTTTTTTCACAACCATACATATATTTCACTATAATTTATTTTATTTTACGTAACTTTTAATTTAACCATTAAAAGAAACTAATAAATATATACCTTTATTTTCTACATATTGAATATTAATATACTAACATCTGATAATTTAGTGTATTATATTATGTTCCTATGATATTATTAGATATTAGATATTAGATATTATAAATAAAAAACAACATAACCATTTATTTTAGTTATTAATAGAAAAGATAATAATGTAGTGTATTATATAAACAATTGATGTATTTTGTGCCAATTTATTATAAATGTCGAAAAAAGATTATAGTAAACAGAATGTATATCTTCATTGGCTTCATCCATCAATTATTGAATAATTGTGTGAGATGCTCACCAATTAATGTTTATGTGTATACTAACTTTATCTATGATATAATTGTTTTAAATATTTGGATTCTTTTTATATTATAAACATTTTTAATTTTTAATATTTTAGTTTTTTTTTCTACAAATCTCAAAAAAACACGTCTGGTTAAAAATCTTGAGAATGTAATGCAAGATCTCTGATATAATTTATTAATATATAGGTAGTTATCATACTTACTAAGATTTCAAGTAAGTTGTTCATATATCTTTTTTAAAATATTAAAAATACGTTGGTTGTATTTTTTTTTAAGATGTTTGAAGTTTAAATTTTGATAAAATCACGGAAATCTACAACTTATTTTTCATTTAAAAGATTTTAAAATGTTCAATTTTTATAATTAAGGATTGGAAATGTAATACCTACTAGTTTTCTCATTTATAGCTCACAACGTAGCCAAAATATCTTAAAAATACATAAACACAGTTTTATTTATTTATTTTAAGTGAAAATTTGTAAAAAAAATCCTAGATATTTGAAGGAACAATAATAGTTTAAGTGTTTTTTCTCGTAAAATTGAAATATATTATTCGTGAAGACTTTGAAATGTAACTTTATTATATTAATATATTATATACCTATTACCTAATATAGGTACATAATGACATTTTTCCAAAATATTTAGATTAATTTTAACTATTAAGCTATTATTTATTTATACCATAAGTTTGCAATTTACACTATTCCGTAGTAAGTCATATAGACTAGGTACTAAAATAATAATAAATTAATATTAAAATAAAATAAAAAATATAATATTTTCGGAAAATATTCATCCTATTATATTATTATATTACTAATAATAAAATAAATTATTATATTTTTATAATAGCATTAGATAGGTAAACTTTGTAATATAAACTGTCTGAGCACAGAATTATTACGTATTCTAATTTAACATATTGCCACATCGTAACATGTCATATACTCATATACTGGTATACTTATTAGTTATTAGTTATTACTGAAGTATAATTCCCATACATACTCTAGTAGTCTAGTACAATGACTTACTCAATATTTCAGTAATAATTTACAAATTAATAAAGTACAATCCACACTCCATACATAACAAGGTAGTAGGTACTGCACAAAGTGCACAATGCACATCACGAATTCACGACAGTTACCTACTTTCTAACTTTTCCCCCCTCTTTTACATAAATATTGATATTTTGCGGTAATTCATTCTGAACGACAATAAATAACAAAATACAAATACTATAAATTCATAATTATATAGGTAAATTCTGCACTAATTAATAATTATTAATTAATATTTGGTAGTAACTACTTGTATTCAAATCACGTTTTGTTACACAAGAATCAAAAATATTCTACCAATCAATGCAAAATGCAAGACAATAGTACATTGTGTAATAGTGATAGTGAATACTAAATAGTAAATAATACAAAAACAGAATACCTACCTAAAATAGTAAAATACAGAATACTAGAATATAGTGTACCTACTATAATATCACAATAATAGGTATAGTCACGGAAAAAAAATCACTCCAAGGAAATTCATAGTATAGTCACACATATTATTCTCTTTGTAACACGCCATAGCGTTATCATAGTTTAAGATATTAGATGATAATACCTTTTGACTTGTTAAATTTTTTCAAACAATTTTACTTTGCCACTTTGGAGTTGTAAGTCTTGACTTACATAGTGTAGTACGTCTACAAAAAAAATTAGATTGTTCATAATGGATAAACCGCCAATTAAAGAGAAGACTAGGGAAGAGGTAGAGGCCGAACGTAAAGCTAAGCGAGCGGCGAAACAAGAACGGAAAAAAGCAGCGCTAGAAAAACAAAAACTCGATGGACTAGAAAGTCAAAAAAAATGTAAAGAATCCTCCACAGAGTCTACTACCGCTGTTGATTCCACGAAAGTGCCAAAGCCAAAACCAGTGAGTAAAAACCACAAAAAACTATTAAGTTAAGTATGGTTAAGTAAACCATACTTAACAACATATGTTCAGTGATTTCCTACCTACAAGTTTTCCTCGATGCAGTTGACTATATTTCTAATGATCTACTTACAGATTAGGATAGGCAGGTTAGTTGTAAAATAAATTATATGTAGGCTGGGTGCAAGTAATAGAAAAGTAATTCCGCTCAACTAAGCAGTTAAAACAAAAATAAAAATAGGGATATTAATTCATATTATTAGAAAAATGTATGCTTTTTTGGACTGATAAATTGTTAGAGTTAAATAAATAATGAAATCAAATCACTGAAAGAATTTTTTCTATTTTAAGTCTTTTTATAGTTATATTTATTAACAATATATATCACTATGCTTTAAAATTTAGAGTTTGTAATAAATGTATGACAAACAAAATGCGATCTTAAGAGATTCTCATTATTTTTACTTATACCTTTTTTTTTTTTTTTTGTCATTATTTTATGAAATAAATATTCCACTTTAGGTGTACCAATGCACTTTAATATTATATTCGTATTGAAAGATAATTAAAATAAAATGTGTATAGGCATATTAAGTTAATTTAAAAAACATATATGACAATATTTTAATAAGTACTTACATAAATTGTAAAGGTTTTTTAACAAATTCATAAATGATGATATGAAATGTGAAATCCTAATCTCCTGGATATATATCATAGATTAACTATAATATATTAATTTACAACATGCTATTGAGTTATTTTTTTGTTTTAAAACTTGAAAATAATAGTTATTACTTATTACCTTATAAATTATTTACTTAATCACACGGATATCAAAGAAAATAAAATAGTATAAAGTAGATACTACACATTTTTACGTTTTTCATACATATATTTTGATAATTTTATTTTATTAAATTTTCAAACAATTAATTTATACTTGAAATTTCCTAATACATAAAGTATATTTACTTTCTTAACTTAAAAATTTGTTATATTATTATTCATTATGTAGAATTGAAATTAATAACAATAATGGTTATAAAAAATAATTTTTATAATATATTTATTTCTTTTTTTTATCCATTTGATTATGTTTCCAAAATTAATGTACTTAGTCTTAAATCTTAGAATAATATTTAATGGCAATACTTAAAAACAACTTTTTAACTCTAACTGATATTGTTTATTATATTTCAAAATATAAAAATGTAGAAACTTAAAACTTTTCTTCAAATCATGTATAATGTATTTAATGTTTTAATTTTTTAAGGTTTATTTTTTTTATACAAAACTCAGATGATTAAAATGTTCATATTTATATCTGTTTCAGGATATTTCCAAGACAGCACAAAAAAAACAGTCAACTCAAAAAATTGAAACAACTAAAAAAGTGATAAATACTAAAAGTAACAAAAATAAAGAAAATATTGTTAAAAACGTGAGTTTATAAAATAATATGGTAGATACTCATAAATAATATCTGACTTATAAGTTAAAATAATTTTTTATTTATTCTTCCCTCAGGTAGAAGAAGTTAAACCTTTAGTAAAAACAGTAAAATTAGCGAATTTAGTTAAGAAATCTACAGGGCCAGTTACACATAAAGTTAAACTTTTCAATCATCTTTATATTGACTCGATATCTTTGTTGGCAGAAAATAAATTAAAGTAAGTTAAAAATCTCAAATATTTATTTGACCGTTTTCTTATTATTTATATTTATCTAGAATAAATTCTGGTAAAGTACATCCATCTTTTATAAAACTTGGAGTACAAATGCAAACTTCTGTTGTAGCAGGATCAAATGCCAGGTGTCTTGCCTTTTTATATGCACTCAAACAAGTTTGTAAAATGCAGAAATTCAAATATTTTTTATTTCTCAAATTATTTTTGTAGACTATTTCAGATTTTGTGACACCAGAACACAAAACTTTTGCACGATCTTTCGAGGAACATCTTGGACCGGCTATCGATCACTTAATGGCATGTCGACCATTTTCTGTATCCATGAATAATGCTCATAAATCTATCATGTGGCATGTAAAGAGATTGCCACACAATATTTCTGATGGTCATGTGCGTATTCTAAATCTGTAACTTTAATCATGTTTAAAGACAACCCACTGAAAGTTTTCATCAGGTGGTGGTCAGATGGTATTAACAGCTATCCATTTATATATTACGTAGTTGGGGCTTATCTTTGCATATCTGTGATCACCTAATTATCTTCTTAACTTGAAAAAAATATAATATAGGTATAGTTTATCATAACTATGTATCAGTATTTTCTTATTATTTTACAGGCTAAAGATACATTAGAAACTGTTATAAATAATTACATTTATGTCCAAATACATATGGCTAGTAAGGCAATTTGTATTGCAGCTCAAAATAAAATTGCAAAAGGAGATGTTATTCTTACTTATGGATAGTAAGTACATAATTAAAGTATAAAATATTTAATATAATTTCTATTTCTTTATAATAAAATAATATGTAATAAATTTAACATCAAAAGCTACATTTTTAAAATATATTTGAAATTACTTGCTGTAAAAGTTGAATAATATACCAATGATTTTAATTATGTTTTAGTTCTTCCTTAATTGAACGGATACTAACGAGTGCCCACTCTAACAACAAACAATTCAGAGTAATTGTGGTTGACTCTGCTCCATGGTATGAAGGCCGCCAACTTCTCCATCGTCTCGTGCGCAACAACATCCAGTGTACATATGTACTCCTATCAGCAACCAGTTTTATCATGACTAGAGCAACTAAAGTGCTGCTTGGTGCACATGCATTGTTAGCAAATGGTTATGTTATGGGTCGAGCGGGCAGTTCTCAAATAGCTTTGGTAGCTAAACATTTTAATGTACCTGTATTGGTGTGCTGTGAAACTTATAAATTTACAGAACGTGTGCAAACCGACTCAATAGTTTTTAATGAACTAGGTATGTTCTTTAGATATGGGCTAAAATATTGCATTCGACTCAATAATTGATTTTTATTCGAATAATATTAATATTTTAGCAAACGAAAATGATGTCATGCCCAAAGAACAATGGTTGAACAATCGTTACTTAACTCCATTAGGTCTTAGGTACGATGTAACTACTTCAGATCTTATAACAGCCGTAGTCACAGAAATTGCTATATTACCATGTACCAGTGTTCCAGTAGTTTTGAGGGTGCGACCAAACTAATGCAGAATGTGTAATAATTATAATAAGTCTGACGTCCATAATGAACAGCAGCAAAAATAAACAAGAATATGTTATTTTTTTCAATTTTATATTGATTTTTAATAAGATAATATAATTTATTTTCTGTTGTACAATGTTCAGCGTATAAACATTTTTTTTCGACATCTTGAGTGTCAGTCAAAAGTTTACTGCTGCCCACCCATACACTATTTAACTTAAAACATGTAAAAAGCTAAATTGTGTTGTTAATTAACAGTAAACAAACGTTGGGTAACAATGTTTGTGATGGAACAATCTAATAATAATAATTCAATGTATACGAGTCACATAAGTATATAATGATTAAAAAAAAGGGTAATTTATACAAAAGTAAGAAATATTAGATTCGATTCTTAAACTAAAAATAATTGTATAATACAAGTTATTAATACATAATTTAAATATTTGTTCATAATGTAGGCATATTAATTTGTTGTCTTATTCACTACACGCCAGCTCATCGTCAGCGGTATTACAAAAAAAAAAAAAAAAATTAATTATAACGCCCCATCATTGTGCCAAAAATATGCTCTAAACTTATTTATATTTTTTATAGATTTTAATACGCTGTATGCAGACTTTAAGACTTGACTTAATCAAAAACTGATTTATACACACATCTTTTGAAATCAAAATTAATAAATCAACACTGAGGAACTAAGATAACCCGGTACTATGTACTTGTTAAATATTTCATACGAAAAATATTTATTATACAGAACAAAATTCACATTTTCACCTTAATTACGATGTTAATAAAAATCCTGACAAATAGGACTAATTAAAAATTATGATATGAAAAACAACGAAAACATATTTATAATAATTTTAGGTTAAGTTTTTTTTTTTACTTTATACACATACACCTGACATGATTTATACAGTAGTTTAACATTAACTTAATGAAATAATATAACACATTTCGACAATTTCTGGTTAATAAATTACGTTGCCACCCTAAGATATCATACATCAAGATTAGAGAAAAAAATACCTTATAAGAATATACATTATATTAATTTAGGGTTAGTAAATCTTTAACAATGATTTGCTGCAAATGTACAAATATTGGAAAACTCTTCCTTGACCTATTCTTTTGGTTGTTAATTCACAAACAATAAAATAATTTATGTGAGAGTAAAACAACAGTTCTAGTCTGTAACTCTAGGTCTATAAATAATAATAATATATTTGTATAAATATAATAGTTCATACATATTTGTATAAAAAAAAATCGCACACAAGCCTAATTGTCATATAATGGTATACATTTAGACAGTAAAATAATAGTAAATATTGCATAAAATTTACAAAGCCACTTAGATGAAACGGTTTTAACCGTTTTATGTGTGCATAAACACACTCATACTTTTTTTTTTTTTTAATAATAACTACACAATGTTTACATTACTATTATACACAATCCCTACATTCTTGACGTATTATTATTATCAATAAATTTATGATTGGATACTACTAACATTTAAAAAATAATAATTATCTTTAAAAGAATTAATTTTAACAGGAACCTATAAAACATTTATACTTAAAATAATATTGTAAATAGTTCTTTTAAAATTTTTTGTGTTCTTTACTAATTCTTACATGACATTACTAGGAAAATTTAACTTTAAATATATAAAAATATACCTAATCTGAGTTGAGTTTGTTCAAAGTAAATAGTAATTATTGATCTAGGCCACTAATTCTGTGCAAAATGAGTAACTTTCTCATAATTAATCCAATAAAATAAATATAAAAATATATTAAAAAAAAAAACTTAGTTAAAAATTATTACAATTAAGTATAAATTAGTTTAGTAATTAAACTTTTAAAATGTTTTCTCATTACAAAGTATAGTTATGGCATAATTTTGTACAGAAAATGCCCTTTAAAGGCAACGGCAAGAACAGATAGGAATATAGTGTATTTTTGTAATAAATCGACCCGGTATAATAAAATTAAATGAAATTTCACCACTAAAAAAACTTTGGGATTTTACAAAAAAAAAAAATGAATAATAAAATATAATATATATATATAAATTGACAGTATTCAACCTTTTCATAAATCAATGCCTACATTATTTTAAGACTAGGCACAAACATTTTATAAGAATGACATCATCACTGTGGATCAAGTGTTTCATATATTGTTAATAATATATTATAAACAACAATCAAATATTTTTATTTAAATAAAATCCCTTTCTTTATTTATTTTTTGGAATCTTAGTATAAATTGAATAAAAACTAGATATTTTAAGTATGCACAAGTTAAAAATGCAAATGCCATAAATATATTTTCAAACAATTTAATGATATAAAATTTAATTTTAAATTTCATTAAATAAATTTGTTGAGGCAAATATCATAAAATAATGATGATGTCACTTCTATCATGTTTGATAAAGATGTTTTATGGTAAACCTATTCTATATTACCTAATAAACAAGACTATTAACACATATTAACTCTTTAGAAGTACCTACTTATTAAACATAGAAAAAATAGGTTTAGGCTCGTGTGTTTTGTGGTGGGCCCAGCATCATGGGTGTTAGGTGGGTTAATGGTGGTGGACCATCTGCATTATGCGGTGGAGGCCCCAAGAAGCGAGGACCATTCTTAGTAGTTGGCAATATGCTGATTTCACGAGGATCAAATCTAAAAATGTTTTAAACTATTATACAATGTTTATCAATAAACATAACAAAATAAAATTATTACTCTATATATATTTTTAAAACAATTCAATCATATTATATTCATTATATATTTTTATAACTGTATTTTCATAATTTTAACACATAAAAGATAGTTATTTAAATTTAAATCAATCTTAGATAATACTGAACTCAAATTATTTATTTATAATAACTTTATAAACTTAAATGTAATATTTTAATCTTAAATCTAGTGAATTTTTAATTTGCCAAGTCCATCTTCTTATTCAATATATTTGTCCTAACTTATAAATTTAAAAGTTAAAAAAAGCATGAAATAATTTGTGAAATTCAGATTAACATTTTTTTTTTGCTTTTAGCTAAATAAAAACAATAATTTATTTATATTTACCTTATTGTATGTATGTTATATTTAATTTATAATAATTATAAAAATATTTTATAAAATTAATTTTTTAATTTGTTTATCTATAAAATGAATGATTATTTTTCTTAGCTTTTGTTCTAATAACTTTATGTAGTTATAAATTATCATAGTACCTTATGCTAGAATAGTTGGTGTCTGATTGCATGTAGGAACTGTGTACTGGCTCGTGGTCAGTAGCTGCTGCTGCTGCAGCAACATTGAATCGGTGGACTTTATTGATGTGTCTGACTAAAAAGCATCCTTTCACAAAGGCTTTTCCACAAAATTGACAACAATGTGCTGGTCCCAAGTCATGAGATCTAAGGTGTGTTACAAATTGGATCTTAGAGTTAAACGATAGCTGACATTGTTCACATACAAACGGTTTTTCTGTCATGTGACTCCATCTAATTACATAACATACAAATTATAAATATATTTATAAATAAGAATAAAATGAGAAACTGAAAATAATAATATAAAAATCATACTTATGAGAAATAACATAGCTTTTAACTGCAAATGTTTTCTTGCAGATGTCACATGAATAAGGACGCTCACCAGTGTGCACTCTTTTATGAATGTTTAGGCTACTCTTTTGAGAAAACTTCTTTAGGCACAAATTACATTGATAAGGCCGTTCACCGGTATGAGTTCTCATATGAACCTAAAAAGTTAATCAGTAATAAAACTATATGAAGTAAAGATAAGTAAATACATACATATATTTATTACAATTAAAAAAATCTCAACATTAAGAACATATAAAGGTAATACACACTTAAAAACATTAATATTTTATTTTAGTATGTTTTAAAATAAATCATAAAATATATTAGTTATACAGTGAAAACTGTCTAATGCGGAATAGCATGGGGCCAATCAAAAATTCCGCTTTAAGAAGTTTTCCGCTTCAATGAATAAAACAGAAAAATTCCAGATTATAAATTTGTATCAGTTTTTTACATTAAAAAATTGGTTTACAACATTTATAATTTTTATTTTTTGAGTTAGAAATTAATTATAAACTTAATTTATAAAACTTATTTTAAATTAATTATAGACTTATTTTCTTACAAAATTATTAACAATTTATACATATTACATAAGTATGAAGGTTGGGAATTAAATTTAAACATTCAGCTTTTCCAAAAAGTTATTGAATAAGAGTTTTTGTTTTGTCAATGTTGTTGCTATTTCTCTAATATTATATGTATTTGAATGAACATCACTTAATATATACAAGTAAACTACTCTGCATAAGACTGCATAATTGTTTCACAGCTATACATTATACATACGAGATAAATTTGTATTGCAGATACTATAACCAAAAAATACAAATTACCTAACTAATATATGTAGTGCAGTTTTATTTTATGATGTACCTACATATTCATATCAATTTAATATGACGAGTGTCATTTTTCTAGCTTGTGCAAGGTTTTCACTTGCATTAAACCTATAAAACTGTTTTGTTTCAGCGTTAGAAAGGTTCTGTTTTATTGAGATTTAATGTCTATAATATAACTCTATATAATACACTATAGAAACATGCCAAGACCATAAAAAAATTCTGTGTTGAATAGTTTTCCGTTTTATTCAGAGTTCGCATTACACAATTTTCACTGTAGAAGAATTTAATATATTTGAAGTAAAATTTTTAACTTAAAAGATTACCTAATAAAATAATTTTAAAACATAAAAGTACATAATAATCAATTAATTTAAAATATGATAGTAATTAAGAACACTATCTATTGCTAGATTTTTAGTATTGTGAAATATAATATTAATTATCACATTACTGAAAGACAATTTTTTTATTATTATTCCTACTCCCTTTTTCTTAATTTAATAACTATATTGTTTTAAAATTTTTATATTTTATACTCAACATTAATATTAATTTTTTTCATTTCAAAATGCTTGTGCTTGATAATAACCATTGTTATTACAAATAATTCACACTAAACTAACCTTTTTAAGTCAAATCAAAATAACATGTTTATAAAGGCACCCTAAAAACATTAACAAAAATTCACATTATTCTATAAAATAACAAATACAAAGGCAACAATAGTTTATTACATATTAAATGTATATTCTTGTATAAGACAAACATACATGTTGACATGATTATGTTTTTTCACTGGAAATTTAAATGTTCATTATATTAAAGACTGATCATTTTATTAGTACATGTAATAGTTGTTGATAGAAAGATAATAATACACCAATATCTAACTTTATTGAGTGATGTCTATATGCTGTACACTATTTAACTTTAAAAATATGTATGTACAAATTGGTGTAACTAAAATTTAATACCTAATACATGGTTTAAAACAACTGTTTGTAAAATATGGTAGGTAAGTAAAAAATTAATGAAAATTGCACACTTTATATAAAAGTTTAACAAAACATTAACCTAATCTAGCTTTTACATAAAACTATAATATACTTCATATATTGCAACATTTTATATTTAAAATGCTTAATTGATAGCAATGTTATTTTTATTAAAATGCTTTTTTTAATTTCTATTATTATTTCATTACAACAACCTATATTAAGGTAAAATCTGTGATACCAATAATGCTACATGAATTGGAATGTTAGGCCAAGAACAAATAAAACAAAACAGAAGGTAATCATAACAGAGATATCACTAAGGTGGATATATAGTATGATTAAGAAGGATAGAATTCATTAGAATTTAAGAATGTCACCAATTATAGAAAAAACAATAAACAAGTTGAGGTGGTTTAGTTATGTTATAAAAAGAAATGACTTACAAACAGTGAGAGTAGCTATGGAAATTAATGTAGAAAGAAAGAGAGGAAGAGGAAGATAAAAAAAAAATATGGATAGACAAAATAGAAATTGACACAAAAAGCCGATCTTAATAAAAAAAAGTGGGGAGACAAAATCGTATAGAGGTATAAGACAAGGGTGGCCGACCCCATACAGTTGGGAGTGAAGGAAAGAAAAAAAAAATTAATTGTCTAACTGAACGACAAAAATCAAATAAGCCTCTTTATGAATATAAAAAAACCAATGCACTTACTTCTAAATACGGTTTACGGCAAAAACAGGCTTCACATTGGGTACAACGGTAAGGTTTATTGTTTGAATGTGATTTTAGATGTACATAATATGATGAAGTTGATGCTAAAACACGTCCACATATGCGACAAGCTTGAGGTTTAGATCGAGATACCGACGTGGATGAGGGTACAGGAGTACTGGAACTATGTTGCTCATCGCCATTAACTACAATGGACAAGGGTGGACTACCACAACTGCTGTTTTGGTCACTGATCACATTGTCAGCAACTAAACAAGGCCTTATCTGAAATCAGGAAGACGTAGGATCGTTACGGCAATTTTGTTGAAAAACTACGCGCGAGTATGAATATTCTACGTTTATCCGCAGTTCTTGCACCCACCTCGGAGTCAACTTTAATGTTTTGCTTGTGTAGTCCGAGTTGTTGCATGTATTTGACAGCGGCATCGTGTTTACCAAGGTATTGTGGCTGTTGCTGCTGCAGTTCGTATTCGGTGGCCGAGAAATGCTGTTGCGTTTGCTGCATAATATCGTGTGTAGTGTACGCGTCGTCTAGCTCATCGACATGGTCATTCAATGTCCTAAATGGGGGCAGAAAAAAACAAAAACCAATAATGGCAAGAATCATAAATATAATAGGTACCTAGGTATTTTTATTTTTATAATAATAATAATAATTATTATTATTATTATATAATAGAAACGGACGCCAATAAAAATAGATCGAACGCACCATAGGTACCGGGATCTATGTGAAAACGCCGTATCAGCGAAATGGTCGATGGCGGCGTTCGAAAGTCGACGTCCGTCGAATGTCGAACCACCGCCATCGACGATGGTAACGACAAGCGATAATAGGTACAATACGAAAACGTGCGGCACTCACCTGCTATGGTTGTCGTATACTGTTTATATACGTTAACAGCAGAGTCGGTTCGGTGGAAGCCCGTTTGATTGTAGGAATTAATCAACTACGCGCATTCTCTAAACGATTATTATAATATTATTAGTTAAATAGTATTTAATTGTAATATCGGAGTAATTATTGTAACGACCAACAACAATAATAATAATAATAATAATAATAATAATAGTAATAATAATAATAAATCAAAATAACACGCGTAACAGACTTAATCGCGGTCTGCCGTCATAAAAAAATATTTATACCGTGATATACACGCATATACATATCATACATATGTAATAATAATATAATATAATATGTATATATACGCACGCATATGTGTATATATATCGCACTCGGAACGTTAACGTGATACGGGGTGTACAGGTATAAACATTATCGTAATAATATATGTTATAAACGTGAATATATGTGTACTGTGTGTACGTATAGGTAACTGAAGAAGAAAGGAATGCGGCGGCGGCGGTGGCAGCGGTGGCGGCGGTGGCAGCGGCGGCGGCGGCGGTATGGTACCTATGTAGTTTCCGATGGTTTCCGAACGGGGAAAACGAGAAGAAAAAAAAGTGTATAATGTATAAATGTAGAAAGAGAAAGAGGAGAGAGAAAAAAAAGAAGCCAATCGGCGGCGCTGTCGGCCGTGTCGGCTCGGGTCCTCACCGAAAGCGTCTCCGAATAGCGTCCGTCGACCGTGGGGAACATCGTATGCGTCTTGTACTCTTGTCTACGGACGTTTTTGTCTTTCCGACATTATTCGACCGGTAGACGATGTCATTACGATAATATTATTTATGTATTGTGCAATATTAATTACGACTTCGTCGTCATTTTTACGATAATATTAATGTAATAACAATATTAATAATTTATATGATTATTTTACATAATAAGATTCCCCGCGGTGTACAGGAGGGCCGATTCGTTTTTAATACTACGGAAATAATTCCGTCGGGAATTTGAGGCTCGAAATTTAACAAGCCTATATCTTAGAATTGTACATGAGACTTAAATTGAATGTATTATATAATATATGTGTCTATAGTTCAATCTGCATCGTGACTTCGCGACTGGTCTTTGTCCCGTGTCATAGTCACCATTTCACCAATATATTATAGGATACAGATTTAACGACCAGACGGCGTCTGTATCCAGGTTAGGTGTCGTTTTGAAACAATTGTATTTTCACTGTGTAAAAAAACTTATTTTTGTGTTCTAACAATACAAAAAATAAAGAGAAAATTAAAAACGTTTATACACTCGCGCGGAGACGCTTAATACTCGTTCCCGTTGTCAATCGCCTTGGAAGAAACAATTACCATGGAACGCGTTTATTGTTTTTAAGGTTATAATGACAATAATGGAGCGATATTTAAATTTTTCATTTAAAAATTAATGTTTAATCTCCCGTTGACTCTTCTAAACTCATTTTTAGATGGATAACTATTAAAATTTACAACGACATAAATTCATTTAAGCCAACTCTTGTATTTTTATTTTTTTTATTATGTATTTTAATGAGTTAAGAACGATGGTGTAATCATGATGTGTTGTTCGACTTTATTTCCAAATTACGATCATTTTATATTTATCATATATTCATATTTATCTTGGTAATATAAGTGATCTGTGCTAGTTATTGATAATGAGGTCGATAGTTCGCGTTTACGGTTACGTCTGGAATCGGTAGTTTTAACGAAGAACTACTCGAAGTACTTTAACTAGTGACATTACAAAAATTTGATAGGATCTTGAGTTTGCGACTATGTATAACTGGTATAGAGAACAACTACTTGTTATATTTCACTCACTAGGTTTACTTGAAGGGTAAGTATGCATATATCATTTGTTAGGTTACCTGTCTATATGAAATTTAGGTATACTTGTCTTTTCAGTCACCACCAGGTAAACTGTTTCTATTGGACAAATGTAAATTGCATCCGATAAATTTCAAATATAAATTTACACATAAAAAATTGTGTTTCAGTAGATATTTACATTTTTATGATACCCATTTGACATTACTCAGAGAACATCTGCACGAGGAAGCGACTATCACTATTCTTTAAAAATTACTTTTTTTTTCAAGTAAATAATATGGATGGGTATATTAAGCTGTTAAAAATAATAAACATTTTTAATTCTGTCTTCTCAAAAGTAATATCTATGTACTATTTTCTATCAATAACCACTCTTAAAGTTAAAAATTGAAGCATTTTTCTATTACATTAAATGTATACCTACACACAAAAAATTTTCGATGTGTTTATTAAAATGAATCTAAGTTTGTTCAGATTCTAAAAATTTTTAAGTCATTATAGTCATGCTTATAATAATATTTGTATCTATAATCTTATACGGCTATAGTTATTGGAATCAAACAAATTCTAAATTAAACTATTTTTTTATTTTTTTTTATTTCGGTTTTATATTTAAATATTTATACCAAAACATATTTATATAAGTTTACTAATTTATACTTGGGCATTTTTTATTTATGATGTATGAATCTCATTCGTAAATCCCATTCTAATTAAAATTTATATTTTTGAATTAAAGAATAATAGTTGTGTTTATTAATTGCCTATATAATAATTCATACGGTGATTTCTGTCAAAGAGATTGTATACTGATACCATTAAGGAGTTAATTAGTGAACAATAGTATTACTCAAAAAGATTTTTTTTAAATGTTAGGTACCTACTGGTCATTTTTTCAATATAAGGTATGTGGTTGATATTGAATTTATGTGCATTGATCGAAAAATAGTAAAAATTCAATCAATTTATAAATAATTCATATCATCAATATCAAAATTAATTAAGATATGGTAGATAAATAATATTATATTAATTAGGAACCTAACAATAGCCATTGTTTCAAATGTTCTTTCTAAATCATTAACTAATACTTTAAATATTCTAACCACAAATTAAGTATTACTTTTTAGTTTCAAAAATAGAAAAACGGGAAGTCACTTCTGCTGTAGTAGGTTTTCGTTATAGGTACCGTGTCTCATTAAATAGATCACTAATGCAATGGGCGTGATAAGACAAAATTTGAATTTTATAACTAATCATTGTACATGAAAAACAATTTAAAACAAAGGAAATATATTTTGCTAAATACATATTATTATTTATACTAATTATTAGTAGGTATTTCCTGAGTTCAGTAGTTTAATATAAGTTTTTCTGTAAAACACATGAGTAAGGTTAGAATATTAGTGAGTTTATGACTTATATATTTTTTCTTCTAGTTGGTACGCATTAAAAAGTGCAAATCAAATCATAAATTCGTTTAGTATATGATACAAAAGCAGTTAATTTTGCACTATTTTTTTAATTTTAAGACGTTTTAATTACAAAATAATTTCCTTTTTCTTTTATTAGCTCAACTAATTATTTGTTAATAAGTTATTTACTAATGAATAATGATATAAAAGATTATTATTACCTATTATCTTTTTATGTAAATTGTATACACTGTAGCTAACTTTTATAAAAATCTTTTCAAAAATGTTTTATTTTTTATTATTAATTTTGCAACATACATGTATTCCATATTATACTTTATAATAAACATTTTTTTAATTATTTTTATTATTTTTTTTATTTGATTGTTTTTTTATTATATACTATTATTAGATTATTATTTTTTTGGGAATATTTACATGTATTTTTTAAATTTTTTGAGAACATAATATTATGCTCATTATTCTATAACATCTTCATTATTTTGGCCTAATTACAAGTCAATATCTACCGTATAGAATGGCATGAATACATTCTTGATATGATAGTATAAAATTGATTAAATTTATCTTGATATTTTAAAAGATTGAATGTAAAAAAGAGTATTGTATGTTATGTTGAATTGTTTCAAGTTTATGCGATTAATACTTTATTATTATAATACATAAACCAAAATAAATATTGAGAAAAATGACTGTAAAATAAGTGACAGTCTAGCTATGTAATTTTGATATTGTTTAATTGCTGTAACAGTGAAAACTTTAATATTTAATTTTTTAATATTTTTGACCAAGAAACAACATTTTTATCAATATCTTAAATGGAAAAAACAATGAGAATTTTAAAAATTTCAAATGCTTAGGTTAAGTTTATTTATTCTATCATAAGTTTATAAAGGGTACAAGACCACTCGCAGAAATTTTTCTTGAGAGGGGGGATGCAAAAAAACAATAGATACACTTACCATAACTTCTGTTTTTTATAACACATCGTAAAAAAAATTTTAATTGCAATTTAGGATTTATATAATATTTATAAAGTAATTAGAAAATATATTTTTTACTCGTACTTTCAGACTTTATTTGTATGTATATTGTATGACACTATGACGTATAGTATGTGATATTGGTAAACAAAATATTATCTAAAAGAGTGAGAGGGAGGCGTGCGGTTGGCCTTAAAGGGGCATACATAACTATTTTAAAAATTCAATCATAATAAATTCCTATCTTCATTTAATAAAAGTTCTCCCTCAAAAAAAAAAAAAAGTACTAAAATGATTATGTATTTTATCAGAAATCACCCTTAATTTTGAATTATTTAATCTAAAACGTGATGACATTTTAGCGTCAACTACTCATATGTAAGAGAGATAATAATAAAATAAATTATTTTTAGGCCTATACTGAGTTTCCACTTAATTTAATAATGTTAATTACAAGTCTACAATTTATTAGATCTTACATATAGTAGGTACTTACTATTTATATGCTTTAATAGGCATTGCTTATGATTTATAAGTACCTATTTAGAATATGCATAAATTAGTATTATATGACATTCGATTTGCATAACGCGATTATTTTATTGATATTTTACTCGAATTTCAATGGTTTTATTAAACTAAATATTAATAAAATAAATAAATAATTTAAATATTATTAAGATTTAGATGTACAACTTAAGTAGTTAAGTGTTTATGTCAGTTATGGGCGTTTTACCTTAGATAGCAAACCGGAAGTGAAAAGTTTGTTAATATTCGTAAAACTTAAAATATTACAATATAGACTGTACTCTTCTATCTACTTACTCAATATGGAGGAAGTTGAAAAAAATATTTGATATATAACTACAGGATTATATATATATATATATATGGTCATATGGATACATTTCACTTCAGTTCGACTTTAGACTCGTCGTTTAAGTTCACACATAAATAAACTTATCAATCAAGCGAGTTCGACATGGATTATTTTTCATCTTTCAGCTTTCGATCTTTTTTATAGATTGAACACACTGAAATTAATTGATACTAAATATACCAATATTATACTATTTATAAAGCTGGTTATTTGTGTGTTTAAATGCACTTATCTTAAAAACTGTCGAATCAATTTCAAATTGTATCAATAAATACTTTGAGAAAGGAAGTAAGAGAGTGATTTTAGCTTATAAAATTAAAAACTGTTCAACCATTTTTGACGAAAGTTTCAGATTTAATTTTTGAAATATTAAAGAATAAGAACATTTAGAGAGAAAATTAAACTACATTCAAAAACATGCCAAGTATTATCTAATGCGCCACGGGCTGTTTGCGCGTTTTTGTTGAATCAGTTCATATATTGGAGATCCACTGCAGATGACGGTTATTTGTTGGTAAACTGAGGTAAATTTAGATACACCAGTAGAATGCCATATTTTATGTTAGTTCATTTTTTCCTGGTGAATTCGGGTTATACAGCTGGTATAATTTATTATGTTAAAACAACTTAATTTTTACGTAAAAATAAAATTTCTCTGAATCTTGCATACTATATGACAGTTATCAGTTTGCCACAAAATTATATTAAATAATAATTACTTATGCTGATATGTCAGTATAAAGAATGTATAAAGATAAAAATCTTTTTTTCTAATAAGATATAATTCTAATAATTAGACATACCTATTAGTACTAATATTAACTACAATAATATACAACGTGATTTACTAAACATGTTTAATCCTTATTTTTTCATTTATATATCTAGTTATTAAAAATCTGATTTTTCAAATTTTTTAATATAGGTAAGTACATACTTATAAAAACCATATTTTTAAATTTTTAAGAGTATCTGGTTTACTTTAGGAATGTCCCGTGGAGATATTATACATTATTGTTTTTAAAATAAAAAGGATCCTTTTATACTGTAAATTATTAAATTTAGTGGATATTTTTTTCAAAATTTTTGCGAGTAATTTAGAACTATTTTAAATTTTTGGAAGATATTAACATTGATTTAAGATTTTAGAAATTATAATTAATTTATTAACATATTTCATATATTTTTTAAATATGATTCAAATATAATAAATATTATTAATCTAAGACTACCTATGTCTATTTTATATTTTTGAAAAACTATTTGTAAGGATTATTATCCTTAGTGTAAACATTTTATTAACTAAAAAACTACTTGTTCAAATTTGAACTGGGTACATCAAAATTTTCAAAAAAATTATCCATTAAATAATTTATAGAAAAAATGAGATTTTTATTTTAAAAATAGCTCATATAGTTTATATTTTTACGGAACACTCCTTAAATACCTAATACAAAAAGCTTGAGAATTTAAAAAATAAGGTTTTAAAAGTTTATTTAAAAATTCCAAAAACAAGAATTCAAATTATTAAATGCGAAGAAATGGTAGGGGAACGGATAATCATACTATTGCTCAATAAATTACCCTTTCTAAATATATAATAATTAATAATACACGATACACAATATTTAATAGACGAAAAATCACATTGTCCAAAAGGTTGTGTGTATTAAGTATTGTTATTGTATATACGTATAGTGATCCGGCGAGGGTGGTGGGAGTAAAACTAGCGGGCCTCGCACGATGCGCATTGCATGCGCGCGTAATGTAATGTTTTGCGTGAGTCTTGCGCCTACCACTGCACAATATGGATAATACAATAAAATACAATATACATATATATAAAACGGTTATTATTACGATTATTACTATTATACAAAGCATATAATATTATATATAATAGGAACACGCCGCGTGATTCTCTTGTAGAACGGTCAGTGGCGTTCTGCCGCAAGTGTTCGGCAGCGGCGTAGCATGATCCGTAGCAGTAGCAGTACCTACATATTAATATTATACCTATTAAAGCACCCGCTGCGGCCAACCCGAACAATATCGTCGCCGTCACCGTATACCGCGATTATCGTAACGTACACTAATAAATAATAATAATATACTTTATTATTATACATATTATATATATATGACATTACCGTCACGATACACGACTATGGAAACGTCGTCGTCGTCGTCAGCGAAGCGGCCTGCCGCCGCCGTGACTTCCGCGTTGCACTGCTGGTCGTACACAGAAGCGGAGCGCCAGCATCTTTTTAGGGTGTCCCGGTTGTTCATCACGTCTTATTACGTGTACGTGTCGTACTATGGGCTGTTTGTATTGGACCTGAGCAGCATTGATCATCCCACATGGGGTGATTTAGGTTCCAATTGGTGGTGGAAATGCGTCTCCGTGTGGAATCTGGTAAGAGACTTGCTACGATAGTGGTATTTACTGTTTAATTTATTATTGCAATATATATTACTATACAATCCGTTATTTTAACTTAATAATATTGCCCAAACTAAAGAAGTTAAAATTTTGACGACCTTTTACCACATGTTATAATAAAAGATACCCATCAATAGGTACATATTTGCTACATAACATTATAAACTGCGAAGAAAATGAATGATAGGTAGGTATATGTGTAATATCACGTTAACATCGTAAATAGGCCCAAAAAACTATAAAAAGATGTTGAAATATGCACTTAACAATTTCGTGTTTTTGCTCATAACGTTATGAGATATTTAAACGTATACCATGGCATAGCGTAAAGATTACCATAAAAAATATATTAATGCATTTCAAAATATGTATACAACTTATAATGTAATTAATATAGATTTTGTTTTAAATACTATTATAAAATAATAAAAACTTTGTAAACGAATATTAATTTTTAAATAGTGGTATATTAATTTAATATAATATACGTTCCTATATTATATTAAATTAATATTCATTCAGTTTATTTTTATTTATGATAAATAATCTTTAATACTTAGGTATATATTATATTAAAGATTTAAATACCTAATTATTTAATAGTATTTAAAACTTATAGGTACATTATGATAATATAATTAATAACAAACAAATAAATAAATAAATATATATATCCTAATTTGTCTTTTATTCTTCAGTTGAAAAAAAATGATTTAATTAGAATTATCGATATTATTTTTATTTTAAGTTATTTATAAGTAATTATATTAATAATCAGGACAGTAAAATGTATACTTAACATTATATATTGTTTTAAAATATCAAATTATATAATTTACTTTATTTTTCATAGGTACTGTATGGTAGATATCGTATCAGATTTTTACAAAATATTCATATTAACCCATAATAATTTGATACCTCATAAATTCCAATTTATGAAAATTGTTACTAATTTATTATATTTGTTAAAACTTATTTTAATAGATAATACAATATATATTTTTTAAATATTCATTTAATAGTTTTTTACACTTATTATAAAGTAAAAATAAATCTTTCTTTTTAATTAATAACAATTTCCATTGCATAGAAAATAAATCTGAAGTCAAATATATATTTAATCTTTAACTATTCTTGTCATTGATGAAACGTAATATAATTTCAATAATTAATGCCATGATGTGTATGTTGTATTTACAAAGTTAATTTACTTGAGTAATCTGTTAAAACACAATTTGATTCGTATACATTTCACAATATAAACAGCCTTATCATATCATGTTTATATTACGTTATGTATATTCTTTTTTTTTCTTAATAATATATTGATTATTTTTTCTAGTCGATAAAAAAAATCTTTTAAATAATAATATTGACAATAGGTATTTAAAGAAATACCTTTAATTTATATCATATTAATAAATTAATATTAATTCATTATTTTTCACACAAAATTCTGTGTTTAATAAAATTCTTATAAGAATATACAAATTTAATATCTATATTATTAATAAGAATGCGCATAATGACAACTATATTTATTAATTATTAGTTATTAAAGGTCTAGTTTCATTAAAAAAAAAAAATGTACATAATGCTATATTCATCGTTTTTTGTAATTAATTAATTTTATTTGATACCGTAACAATGTCAAAAATGAATATTTAACGTGTATGGTGTTACCGTATTGGTGAATGTTTATAAAATTAGTAAATTTAGAGTTGGTTATTCGCTGACTGTACGTCCGGCTTTATAGCTTATAACCAGTTAAAGTAGGTGACCAAACAGAATAATAATAAAAAAAAAAATCATAATAATCAAGCAAAATCAGCATTATTTGTTCGATACAAATAAAAGAACGAAGTTTAAAATTGTATACTAAATAATATGATACAAAATAATTTTGCTTCAATAAAAACAAATACTATATTATATTTATTATCTATATCTGCTAAAATAAGATAATCTTTTTTTCCCGTATTATTATTAATAATTAACCATGGCGATTAATTATAAACAATAAATTATGTACCCGCCCCTAACATTTTCACGACCAATCATCATGCATTGTCTAATTTTATCACGATATAAATATAAAAATTAAAATTATAAATTAATTGTAAGGAATGAGTTATGTAATATAAAAATACTCTGAAACATTCAAAATTTCAAAATGACAAGTTTACAGATTTTTTTCGTTATTAAAAATATAATAATAATGAGTTATAAACATTTAAAACAATAAAATTAAAGCAATAGGTATTCTAAATTTTAAAGTAGAATATTTTTTTATTACAATACCATGTAAAAATACTTTACAAGTTATAAATGAGTTACAAGTGTAATACAAGTATTTAAAGTTGAGACTAACAGAGTATTAGACTAACAGTGGGGTACCTTTGTTCTCAGGGGCGAAGTGGCTCAACAATTTTTACCAGGCAAACAGGTATTTTCAGGTCACTTTTTTCAAATTAAATTTTTACTATTTCTTTTCTTATTGGTAGATGTAATTGGGAGAAGTATAAAACAATTTATCTGACTTACATATTGATAGAAGATTTTACCAATTTATTATCATATACATTTTACATTCTTCCTAGCTTCTATTGTAAAATAGTATAAATTATAAAAATGTTTGACTATTATATATATATATATATATATATATATATATATATATATATATATATAATTCATATCATAATATTATACATTGGTATTATTTTATATTTATACAAAATATGTCACTATAAAAATGTATTTATAATTTATAAAACAAAAATACTTTAGCTTCTTGTTTTAGGAAATTTTACAAATTTTTAGTATGTTCGTACATATTTAAAATAATATTAAAAATAAAAAACAAATCTAAAATTATACTATAATTTAAAACAAACTTTGTAGGTATTTCTTTGTTTGGATTATTATTCCGTATTGTCACAGATTTTTACAAACATAATTTGTGGCATTTAGTATTATTAAATAAAATTATAAGCCTACGATGTTATTTACAATCATATTCGTATATTTTGTTATTTATTTTTAAGTGTTATGTCAATCACAATATTATATTATGACCCGTCTGAATAACTATAGATTGTGAGGTTTACTGGCTTATTGTTATCATATTATAATAAGAAGACGTAATACGTAAGAAATCGTGTTATTTGTAGTTCAGACCACGAACTAAACTATTTAAATTCGTGATTCACACTATAAATTTGTTCCCGATATTTCTATATTTAACAGAAAATAAGGCAATTTCTTATATAAGCAAACTAGGCCACCGGGAATTGTCTTAGTTGTCTAGTGGGCCAATCCGTCGCTGTTTGTCCAACCTCACCCACTTGTCTAAACTTTAAATGCTTATAAGTAATGATTTAAGACTTTTTAAAAACTCGTTCTAAATTCGATTCTTATATATTTTAATGCTCTAAAAAAAATAATAAAAATTTAAATATGAAACTAAAATGAACGCTCTTTAAAAATAAACAAAAAAATAGTAAAATATGTATATTATTTTAAAATTTTTTTTTTTTATGTATTATTTCAGATTATGTAAGGTACTATATTTCCAAAAAAATTGATATTTTTTGAGAAATTAATAATTACTAAACCTTCAAAAGAATTACCTTGTATTAAACTAAGTATAATTTTCTAATATGTACTTAATTAACACGTTCAATAGAACACGTTGTCGACATCATGTATATTTCCCTAGTTACCAGTGTTGATTAGGAGTCAACTAATAGAGTGTTAATTCTTATGGCTTATAATTTTGACGATTGATGTGATAACGTTTTGATATAATGTGGGTGATTAGCCACTGTCTCAATAATTTAATAAAGACATAATTGGTTTTTATTTTTGTATATTTTTTTGTTGGTATTTATACTTTTTCCAAAATGACAATGATTTCTATGTATATTGTTTTTGATTATAATTAGGTCCCAGGTACGAACCCGGGAGAGGGGATAAGAGGCTTTAATCTCATAATTTTTTTTTTTTACAAACGAAAAATGTACACAAATAAATACTAATCATTTAAATTTATTTTTACGTATGAAAAATAACTAAAAGATATTTTTAGTTGCTTAAATTGTTTAAAATAATTTTTTTATACTAGCATGACAAGTATACTTATTAGTTATTATTGCAACATTTTAATAAAAAATTACATGTTTGAAATCCTTGTTGTTTAGTAATACCATATAAGCCTGTTTCTTCCCAAAGAGCTATTTTAAATAAATTTAAGATCTTAAATAAAGTTTCAAACATTGTCGATTGCATGAATGCAATTCTATTCTTGTGTATTTATGCTTAAAAACTTCACGTTAAGTGTCTGACTATGAACTAAACATTGTATTAAATTGTATAAAATAGAGGTAATAATATATGTACTACATATTAATATGATATTTTTAATTTATAATACATGTAAATATAGGCGTGCCATTTGGACTATTTGGTGAAAAATTCGGTATAGATTTTATATTATCATTAGTCATTAGCATCTAAGATAATAATATTATAAAGTTTTCATAAAAGCTTATGAAAACTTTACCAAGTTCATCAAACTTGGTAAATAATATCGTTTATAATAGTCTTAATCATTTACATATCTCGAATTGGCAATATTTTTTACCATTATAGAAATTCCTAATAAATTATAACAATGTTGTAATGAACGATTCATTTTAGTCATTGTTTGAAAATTTAAGGTATTTTAGATGTTTCCTAGAAAAAGTAGTTATTTTTTAAACTATAAGATATAAATAGTAATATAAACATACAGTATAACATGTATAATGTATGTTATCGATTATTATATTATAAACATATTATATGTATATCGATAACATATTATTATGTATGATTTTTGTATACCTACCTAATATGTTTAATTTTATTTTAAAATTAATGTTAACTTTGTATTAAACATATTGTAATAAATATTACGAAATGTATGTATTATCTCAGTTTTAAAAATTAGCATATTATACAGTATTTTCATATCATATGCGTACAATGTACATGGCTATATTCCTTTTATTGTACCTATATATAAATATATTTCATGATATACCTAGGTTTCATATTGTATTTTTATTATAATTTATAATTAAGAAATATAAGAGGAATAAATCAATTTAATTTTATTATTATATATTAATTTTTTGATCTTTTTAACAACGAATTACATTAAATTAAATTTTTTAATTTTAATTGTTCTACAATTTGAACAAATGTGGTACAATAAACATATTATAAGCGATGTGTGATGACATGAGTGTATTTAATATATTAAGAAAAAGATTTGATAGTATGGGGAAAAGTATCATCCTGTAATGAAAGCACTTTGGCATGAATTTATGTAGTTATGGTGCTTAAATTAAATTAGGTCTCAAGGCCATTGTAGCCTGTGTCTTCTGAGAAGATTTCCGGGAATAAATTTAAAATTAAATTATAATTTTTTTAAGTAAACCTATTTATTTCAAACGTCTTTCTTAATCAAATAACCTGAATTTAAATCAGCAGTAACAATTAATTTTCTAAAAAAATTTTAGTTTTTATAATTTCTATCTGATAAAATAATGTTTTTTACAGGTATTGCAAGTTACATACTTCATTTATTGCACAGTATTCGTAGATTATGCTGATTCTGGGCCTGGAAAGTCGTGGATAAAACCTCGGTTACAACAAAACAAGAAAATAAGAGATTTCATATTTGTCAGCCTTGTGTTTCCAGTGACAATTGTGAGTATTATTGATTTGACTGAAAATTTAAAATTTTGTATGGAGTTTTTTAAGAATTTTTTTAAATTAAATATGTTTCCATTTATTTAATTGTTTAGTTATAATACACATGCATTATGTATACCGATAAAACGTTCGAAATAATTTTAAAAATAAATTATTATAAAATATAGTTTATATAGTTTTAATATTCATAAATATTATTAAATAACCTACATAATATGTTTTAAATAATATTGATGAATAAAAGATGAAATTAAAAGTCTCATAAATGAGTAATTTTTAGTGAGTATTATAATATAATAATTAATATTATTGAATAAATATTGAATTATTGTTGTAGAACACTATTTTTTAAACATAATTCAAGGTTCATGCGATTGATGATTGTTAGTTGTATTAATTCAAACGATATATTCTTTAAAGAAAAAATTCTACACGCACTTACTTTAAACTTATCATAGCATAAATTAACCTTCAATATTTTATTGAATATTCTACATTTATTATTTTTGCTTCTGTCAATTAAATATTAAATAATGATGAATAAAACTTTTATTTTATTTCTATTTCAACACAATTCTTTTTGGAATTAGCTCTTTAACACAGAAATATATAATAATGACTTTTAGTCACGTGTCTATACGAAATATTACCAAAATTTTCTATAGGATATAAAGTTTAGAATTTCCTCTATAATAATTAAATCTAAATAATTATTTATGCATGGCGGCTATATGTTTATGATAATATATAATAATTATGACGTTATAGGAATAATATACCTACATAAATAATATATATATATAAATAGATACAAAATATTTTTTTCAGGATATTCGTTTTATTTTTATAAATTATGTTTTTAGATAATGCATTTTTTCAGAAATTTGAAATATATTTACTTATAAAGACCATATTCTTAAATTTTGCTTAGATATCTTAATATTTTAAGGAATTAAAAATTCTAAAAATCAAAATTGCAATAAATGTGTGAGCAATTAGCTCAATTAAGCATAAATAAAGTAAATATGATTATTATTTAATAGCATATAATACGGAGTTTGTAATTTCACTAGAAATATATAAATTATACAACTATATATTATGTAGGATGTATGCGTTATGTTTTGGGCAATCTGTGCTGTGAACAAGCCTTTGTTGTTTCCAAATGAAATGAACAATTGGATACCGGATTGGTATAACCACGCCGTGCACACCAATCCGATTGTATTAACGTTGTTTGATATGGCCACCACCAAGCATAGTCAGCCCAAACTGATCGAATCCACGGCAGGGTTGTTTATGTTGTCCGGTTCATACGTCACATGGTAAGTATGACTATCACCCCGACAATAATATTGATTACCCAACTGTATTTATTTCAATACCAGTTAATTATTAATTGTTACGGTGGTAGTTTAAAATAATTAAATAATCAAAAATAAATAAAAAAAAAAAATAAATTACAAATAACACTGAAAAATGAAACATAATCACAACACTATAATATATTTAAATATAGACAAATTAATGCGATTAATTATTGCGAACTATGCGCGTGCACATTTTCAAGGGTAAACACAACTTATAAATTGTACATTAGATACATATATATAAGTTATAAAATACGTATAAGAAGATGTACGATTTTAATTTATATTTTTTACTTTGTAATGACACTTTTGAATGACAATCATGTCTTCAATCCACATTCTCTAAACAATAACATATAATTACTCACGTACTTATATTTTATTCCATTGCTTCCCATGCTTGAGAAACATTATAGTTGATTTAAATGAAATGATGTAATTTAGTTCGATTGTGATTGCATACATAATAATAAATCGTACTTAAATAGGTAGTACGAAAAAATTCATGTAATAGGCTACTATAGCTATATAAATAATTATTTAAGTACCTATTAGTTAAAAGTATTATTAGTATTAGATGTTTAAGTTATTTTTCTTCGGCATTTTTTATAAATAATAAACATATAAAGATTATCTAAATAGTATACTTTAAAATATAAATAATCCATCTGAAATTTTAATATTGATTCATTTTAATAAAATATTATTTTATTTCATTTTATTTTTATTTTAACGATATCACTAAGAGATTATATTTAGGCCAAATTAAGTTTATATAAACTTTAAATTAAATATTAAAAACATAAGTTAGTTCATGCCCCCTTGTTATTTGGGAATAAAACCTTGTGATAAAGAATAATAATCTAATCTATTATTTCACAGTAATTAGTTATATATATTAATATTTATTATCAACTAAAATAATGGGTCAAGAGCATTGCAAGTTTTATAAATTATAGAAACAAATCTTTGGAATAATTTAATGTGGTTTGAACTTTTGAAGTTTGAACTTTAAAATACTTCTTGTATTTCAAAATGACCCAAATAAAACCATTTATATTGATTAAATAACTTTTAAAGCATCCTAAAAAAATAAGTATTTGATGAAAACACATTTTTATTGATTTAATATTATATTATATACATTTATTGATTTTACAATGATCTGTTTTTTCTTTAAATGTCTCTTTTTTATTAAAAAAAAAAAAAATGCTTTGATTTTAAACCTTAATTATATTTTATAGTAGGAAAATTAAACTGATTGGTTGGGAAAAAAAAAATTATGAAAAAACTGAAATTTGTACGTAAATCATAGTTTTTGACAAAATCAATTTTCTTGTTTCATTTTAATTCAAAAATAAATAACTTTTGATTCCTATAATGTTTTTCAAATACTTATATAAGTATTTTCTTAACATAGTATGTTTTATTCTTCAAAATATTTTGACTCTTTCTGAGCTATTTATAAACATTTAACAAATGTAATTGTCTTATACTATTACTTATATTCACACCGTTTTACAATAAGTTGATATTTAATTAAATTATATAAAAAAAATAAATGCAATGTTTTTTTAAAAAACTAACTTAAAATGTCTTATTACTAATAACTAAATAAATTATTGTATAGTGGCAACATAAATATATTATAAATCATACTTATTTATTGTTACTGGTATAGGCTAACAACTAACTTCGATTGCAGAATAATTTTTCGTATAATATAATTTATCATAAAATTTAAATTTAATACATACATTATTGTGACTTAATCAATAACAGGGTACAGCCAATATCTGCTGTACAGCAGAGCAAGTCTCTATATTTTTTTTATATTGTTTTACTTAAATTGTTTTTAAACCTTAGATGCAGACAAAAAGAACAATTTTATTTTTATTTTAAAAACTAAAATGTTTTTATTTTTATTAAATTAATAAAAAATTTTTTTAAAGTATATTAATATAGATGCCATTGAATAGTTTGTGAGTTGGATTTTTTCAAAAATATAATGTTTATTTTAGATTTGAGAGTTTAACGATAAATATACTAATTCTATAATATTATGTGTAGTGTTTTTTTATTTTTATGTCTATAAATACATTTTTTAGTAGAAAAAATATTCTAATCATCAACTCCAACGGAGGTTTCTTATAAAAAATTTAACCTAGTTAGTACTTTTATGAAGTCATTAACGAAAATTCTGAGTAATTTTTAAAGTAATCGGAAAAAATTATTTTTTGTAACCTTGGTTACCAAAAAGGTTCGACTGTCTTCGTTTAGAATCGTTTTTCATCATACACAATGATTTATCATTGAATTAAAATTTAACACGTCATTCATTACTTATAGCGCCTACTTAATGACAAAGTACACTATCAACTCCTACTGTAGAGCGGTTACCTACTTTCCCCCTTTAATGTTTGACTACAATTTATTCATGTTAACTGACAACTGCTATATTTGTTTATATTTATAGTTTACTTTATAATAAATTTACAACTGGAAGATGGATATATCTTATCATCGGAGAGGTTACAGCGAGTCTGATGGAAGTAATCATTTACTTTGCAATAACGGCTTTTATTATGCCATTTATGTGTTTGCTAATTGGTCATAAAATGTGTTCATGGTTTTCAAGTATGTTTAAACTTTAAACACTACATACACTTTTTAGTGGTTTTGAATGAATGGAAATGTGTTTTTATGTTGAAACAAATAATAATTAATATTTAAAATTAATTTTCAGGCTCACAAATGGAAAAAAAACATAAAATGTCTTAAAAACAAAACAATCATAAACTACTTATGTGATGAATAATAGTCAAATATTTACATAGTATTACTTTTACAACAATGTTTACTATTATAGATATTTTTGGTTTAATTTATTACATTTAAATACTTAATAACATATATGCTCTAAATGTTATAATTTATAAAATTTTATTTTTACTAAAGTATTATTTGAAAACTTCATATTTTCAAGTTATAATTTATAAACTTAATAAACAGAACATAACGTCACATAGCTAATTTTAGTGATGAAAACATGTTTTATATTTTAAAAATGGTAAATCAAATGGTGAGTTGATGTAAAGTGATATTATTTAATGTATTATTTTTATTATAATAAATAGTTACCTACACTGAATAGTGAATATGTATTATATTTAGTTATTTTAAAACTAAGATTGCTCAATGAATCTATTTGGAATAATTTTTTATTTAATATAAAAAAAAAATAATAATTTTAATTACCTAAATCTTATGTGAAATACCTACATGAAAATAAACAATTACGTTTTTAATGTTATAATTATGTACCATAATAAATGTATTTTTAAAAACATATACTTTTTAAAAAGTTTAAATATAATTAAATTAAATTTCTGTATTGGTAGTAGGTACTATACGTAGGATTTATACCTATTGTATAGATAATATTGTTAGAAAAAAATTGTATATAAATTATTGTATACAATTTTTAATTATTCAAAATTACATTAATTAATTATTTTTATATTATATACAGCTATTATATTAACTTAAATTTTTGTAAACTATGTTGTTATTTTCTAAAATATAAGTTTAATTTATACATCGAATTCTCACATGTATAATATATGATACATTTTATAATAAGTTAGATGTATTAAAGATAAAATAAATGTTGATAAAATAATACGAGTATAGTTTATTATTTATTTGTTCTATATTTAATATAAAATTTTAGATTCTGTATGAAGTACTGAGGTAAGGAATATTTAATGAGTTTATAATTTATATATTTAATTTTAATGGTATTTTATGAATTTTTTTTTTTTTTTTGACTAAGAAATAAATAATGCTTAAAATATTTTTTGAATATCTAAAACTATAGGAGCTAACATGTTTAAAAATCCAAAATCAAGAATAAAGAGATCATTGAAAAGGTTATTTTCTCAACAGCACTTTCTCTAAGTCTTAAGGAAAACTACAGACTATCATCAAAATCGTTTGAAACATAACAAGCAAATGCGCTTGTTGACATGTCAGCAATTATTGAACTAGTGCGAGTGAGTTTTTTTGTATCGACTTCCGCTGAAGGCTCACAATCGTTTTTGAATGCGGTAATTTATCATTGCTTTTGAATCGTATATCACAATATACGCCAACATCCTGCAGTGCCGAGACTAAAATTTCGACTGGTCTAGCATTCAAGTTTATTTTTTTTATTACAAGAAACATAAATGTTCAAATAAAACTATTACAGATTGGGTTGATACCAATACATTCTAGTTACAATTCAGACATGTCATTGCAAAAGGCTGTTATTGTGAATAAATGGCTCGATCATTGTATAACATTATTATATAATATATAATAATACAATTTTATGTTTCATAATTTTTAAGGAGATGTAATATTATAAGCAATTTAAGTATATATAATATACAAAGTATAAATGTTTATACCTACCTAAAAAAAAAAAAAGCAATAATATAAGAATTAAATATAAGTAGATATACAATACAATTATATTTTTTTACTTAATTTTTTTCGGTAGTGAAATAAATGTGGTATTTATTAATTTTTATTTTACTTTTGATGCTTTGTCTTTATTTTCCTTGGATAAACATTTACATATATTATATTAAATCTTAAAAACTTTCTAAGTTATTAATTATAAATGTAATTGTTAACGATAACCATATCACTTTTTTTTAAATTTTTAATGTATAATATATAAGTCATTTAAAAAAAAAAAAATGAAAAAATAAAGTTCTATAAAAATTTCATTAATAGTGTTTTAACTTTAAAATTACTTTTTAATATGTATTTTGTTTGTTTTGCGTACACATGCTTACATCTTAAAATTTAATTCTGTATTGCTCTGCACATGCTACAGGGTCGGAGATCTTCACGATAATATACTTATAATCGTAACAGTAAAATATGATAATATTATAAAGTTATATAATTATACATACGAAAACATAGGCGTCAATAGTTCTTTAAATATACAGGATTAATTTTTCGATTCAAATTATTCTAAAATATAACATAATTTTTTTGGCTGAGTACAATAAATAATTTTTTAACTATTACAGTTATAATAGTAGGTAATCAAAAAATAACTACACTGCAATAGTATCGATTAGATAATCGTAGTAAGATTGTATTCGATTTATCGAGTAATCGTTTTTAAATTTTGTCGTTAATTATTTATTTTCTTCATTATTTTGCGTAGTCTATTTTACATTACAGTTGAAATTACAACCAAATATTAACAAATAAATAAATAGTAATTTTTCGATCGATTTTGCATTACACAATAAACCATATTTTTTGATAGATTAGTTTTTTGCATTATATTTATTACATTAGAATAGCGATCACTCAAGATAAAATGTTTTTCCGTGCAATGAAGAAAATATCAAGTTTGCTATTGATACAAACTTTTTCACTTTTTTTATTGTAATATACATATTTTACAGCTCTGATTTTTTGGTCAGTTTTTTCTATAGACCCCCTCCTCTCAAATAAATTTTATGTATACGCCATACTGTATGATTGTAAGTAATTTATAAATTATACTGATGTTTTTATTATTATATGTCGAGAACGTGGCTATTAGACGCATTATAGTCAATAATCGTAGTCTGTACTCGTAACTAACTTATAGTTACCTAAATTACTTGTCAATTGCCAATATTGCGTAAATGATTCAATTGAACATTATAAAATTACACTTTAAAATATGTTTTGCTTAAAATAATATAGTTTAATAAATAAAAATTTTTTTCGTTTTGAATGAAATATTACATATGTAATATGTTAATTGTGGTTTTAAACCAATATAAGCTGAAAGTTAGTTTATGACTTTCTTGATGTCCGATTACTATTTTGAATATATAAGTATGAATTTATTAGCTTCTTTTCTAATTATTTTAGGAAAACATTTTTAATTTTTTTATCTAAAGAGTCTTAAAATTAAAATTTTTTTTTTTTAAATATTCAAAAACAAAAATATTTTTTAAATTATTCTAATAGGGGATTCATTAATTTAAAAATTATCAACGATTTTAAAATTATTTTATTTTGAAATTATTAATAGTATGCATTTTTAATTTCTTATTCCAGATCTGAATATACTTTTGAAATAGAAAAATATAAACATGGTATTTTGAATGTATATTTTATACGTTTTAACTCTAAATACTTATAAAGTTATAACTTATTAGTTACCTATCCAAAATTTGATTTTTATAGATCAAAGATCAAATTACGCCGAATAATATTTTGCTTAGTAATATGGAATTAAAAATACATTTTCAATACACATATTATAATTTAAAGAGTAATCAACTTAAAAAAAAAAAAATTGATAACAGCAACGTATTTATAATAATTCATACATATTTATTATTTTTTATACAATAATAGGTATCAATGTATCGTGATAATAATTAATATTATGTTATATTTTTAGAGGTCACTTGACTATCTCTATAACAGAATAATTGAGATACTGAAATATCTATCACAAAATACTTACCTGTAATAGTAAATGAGGGTTCTAAACTTCAAAAATTTACAGGACATGTTCCAATCAACTTATACACCAAAACAATAAATATTATAAACTAAATATATGTTAGTATAAAAAACAAAGGTATGGTGGGGATTGAGGTCTCCCCTAATAATTATGATAATGTAGAGTGCATAGTTTCAAATGATAACGTGTTTTCGATCGAGACTTAAATATAGGAATTATTGCATTACATGCACGTTATCATCAAATCATCGTATAGTATTACCTACTATTTACTACCATATTAGTATCATTATTTATTAGTTAGATTAATTATTGCATAACTTGTGTATAATATCGCCAATGACATAGTCACTGAGGTATTTCATTATTATTAAAAAATAATACTCTGTTACTAATAATGGGGACAAAAAAACAATAATAATAACGTAGTCAACGGATATAACACACGAATTATTGAAACATAAAACAAAATAGTTAGTAGTTGTCGAATTAGAATATTATACTAGACGTAAATACGTGAAATATTTACATAGATGTGGATTATACTAACGGTTTCTTTCTGAGAAAAAAGGCCTGGAAAAATTCTGAAATAAAAATATAGTAAAAAGTCCAGGAAACCTAGTCCCTATCAGAAGTAAAGTATGTAAAGTATAATGCATAGTTAATAATGCAGAATCCTGATCTCAGCTATACATGTATAATATTACTATGTAATTTATTAATTAATAATTAATTTTAATTATTTAATTTAAATAGTTCTTACATTTATTTATATAATAATATGACAATTAACAATATTGTGCAGATTGTAGCTATACTTTTATTACATAATAATAATAGTATAACATGGTATACTTAATTTACTCGATAATTTTGTGCTATAGGCCTTTTCCCCCTAGATTCATGGTATTATTTTTATATTTGAGAGGTATCTTTTACCACTTTAACGCGTAACGATTTGTGAGCTATTGAATAACTCGCTTCAACACGAATTCAGTTTGGTAGTCTCGCGCGTGTGTAAAGCCGCTACTTTATTTAACATTCATACGATTTCTGGTCGAATTTTGTTTTTGCTCGAGTATCAGGTTTCTATTTGTACCTATTTATATTAATAATATATGACGTTATTGTTTCCATTGTCGATAAGTTACTGGTGATTGTATTTTCACCAATTTCAAGTCTTAGTATTATCCATATTGTAATATTGAACTTTTCTGCGCTGAGGTCAGAAACGGTATACTCAATATTCGGTGGAATTTGTGTAATTTGGATAGGTTTTCGTATGTAGGAGAGGGTATGATAAGGACCTCTCAATTGTACAATTGATATTTGTAGTTATACAGTATACACCATATGACGTTGCTAATGTGCATAAT